CGTTTGTCCGGTCGCGTTAGATTGCGCATGTTCAGTGTGGGGGCCCATTCACCAAGAGGAGAATCGACAGGTTGCAGGCGGTCCAGCGACGGGCAGCACGCTTTATCTGAACCGCTACAGAAACATTGGAATTATTGGGCTGGTCACCACTGTAGGAACGACGACAATTATTCAGGCTGTCCATAATGTACACGATATGAAATGTGCTGGTCCCCTGCTCCAACATTAAACAGAAACTCGCCCCACACTCCCCCCATGACAGGCAGTTCCGGCTCATAGCAACAAGAACACGGTAGAGGAACTGCTAATTCCTGCCAAAGACAATCAGAGACTGGAATAAGCATTCTAAAGGAACAGTTGAGGCGACCGCACTTAACATATTTTGTGTCTATTGCCTCCTGCTTTCCAACCCCCCCCCCCTTTCCTGATACCCTCGCTGAGTGGCCCTTGCAAACAGTGAAATATCCTCTTCAAAATATCTGGCACAGAAACATCGCATATACCCTCTAAATAAAGCTATGATTATATTTTGGTTACCGGAAAATTGATTGAAAGAAATTTCGTCAACGGTAAATTGATCGACAGAAATTTCTTTCGATCAAATTATGGTAACCACAGTTTTTTCACCTACCTCAGGTGTCCGCTTTTGCAACCTCCCAAGTTATGTGTATCTTCGGAAATAAATATGACTTACTTGTGATTGAAATGGATTCTTGTTTGTTGTCAAACATCAAGTACAACGTCTTATAAAAACCCTGTTACCGGTACTCAATTGTGCGTGAACTCGGGACCAGAGTATGTATACCGTTAAATCCTTAAATCAAATAAGTGCTATAGCATTAGGAGTCCTTAAAGTAAGTACCGGCACTCTATAAGTGCATTTATGTCCCGTTACTACAAAAATTGTATCGAAGTATTGGGTCTTTTTTTTTTTTAATTTTTAAAAATGTCCTGGAATTTTGTATTTTCTCCTGGAAAACTAAAAGTCCTGGAATTTATTTTTAGATTTGGTGCAGGAACCCTGTGATGAAGTCATTTGCCGAAACATTTACGTTTGTGTTTTGTAAAATCATCGTTAAAGTTGAACAAATATCGTTTCATTTACAAAATTTTTGTGTGTCTTAGTCAGTGGCTTATTAAGACTAAGGTGTTTAAAATATAATTAAAAAAAAAAAAACACTCACACTTTGTAGTCTACTTTTTCCCATCCAGATTCATTAGCTGGCATCGGGTAAAAAACACACACAAAAATTGATAGGTCTATTTATTAATTTATGAATCGAACTAATCGCTTGCAGCAGTATTAACCCAAGGCAGCGGCCATGGGCTCGGAGTTCGAGCTTCTGTGGGACCCTCGAAAATGTGGAATTTTCGACTACATGGCTAACGTTTGCATGGACCTCTGCTCTTGGTGGGCCCCTAGGCTTCAGCCTAATCAGGCTTATGGTTTTCAGTTGACAACACCTAGATGATGCATGTGGGTAGAGGTGGGGCAGCATAGCCCAGTACTGATGATTCTACACCAGAAACGACAAACCAAGACGATAAAAAAAAAAATGAGGACAGCAGGATAGGAGGCGCCCTCTGTCTTCATTGCTTTAGTGTTAGCCTTCATTTATAAAAAAAAAAAATCCGTTTTAAAACCTGATTTCCAAAACCGATAACCTGTTAGCTAGGTAAAAAAAAATGGTATTACATTTTTACCGAGCCCAAATCTTAAGCTGTTACTGTTACCTTCAAAACATTTTTAAAAATAGTATAATAAATTTAGAATTCATGATGATGTTTTTAAAGCAAATTTATTTAATATTTGTTTGAAAACTCTTTTCTCATAAGTTGCAATATTGTTCCACGCTGTTCAGGAATCTGATCAATTCGTGAAATTCAGAAATGCACGCATTGACTTACTACACTGTTGAAAAGCTGAGCTAACATTGGAAAAAAAAAAAAGCTTATGTGTAAGTAAGTGATGCATTGATCAAAATCAAATCAAATTTCTCTAGTTTTCAAATGGTCTTCCCCGTGTTTTTTCAATGATTTCATAGATAATGAGCGCTTTACATGTGGAAAATATTTTTGCTGGATTAGAACTAGAGTGATACAGAAAATATGTAACCATGCAGTGTATCACTTAATTTGAAATGGTTGAACTAGTTAAAATGAACAGAAATTTACTTATGTAAATTTACTAATGTAAATATAAGATGTCATTCAGAAGTAGGCCTATTCTTTATTTAAAGTGTTGTAAAAATATTAAACTTGCTCACAAGTTGCACCTGACACCACAGCCAATGTTTGAACAAGGTTCCTACCTGGTGAAACATTGTAGCTCTGCTGTAAGCCGTGAGGATTGATGGCATGATACAGTCTATTGTTACTTCTTTTCGGAGACAAGTGTATAAGTCAATAGCACTAAATAAGGCCACTGACTAAATAAAATGTATGCATGATGAGAACAAGGAAGTAGTAAAGTTATCTGGTTACAATGACTAGTAAAAAATAAATTAGTATTTGTTGTATTATAAATACTAGTATTCATTCTTCTCTACCTACAAAGGGGCCGTCCATAAAGTACGTCATGCTATTTTTCACCATTTTAACCCCCCCCCTCCCCTGTCAAAAATCTCGGACCCCCATCCCCCCCAAGTACGTCACACTTTCGAACAATTTTAAAAAAAATTAACACCTAATTAAAATTAAGCTAAAACACACTTAACTATTAAAATGTATTAAAATATATAATTTCCACTTAAAAGAACTACTACATTATTAAAATGACTTTAATAGTAGAATAGTTAATTGTCAACAGTTGCCACAGTTATTCATTGAAGTAGTAACTCAATCTAGATTGAATTTGAAAACAAAAATTGCAAAAATTAGACTACACAGTTATATAATACACATGTATCTGCTGCTTTTTCATTTACAAAAGGTGAGGTCCAGTTTCCGATTATGCAATATTTTTTACACAGGATAAGAAGTAGGTTAGCGAAACTTGACCTCACCCAGTGATTAAATAATAAAAATGAAACAAAACAATATGACTAAAAATAAACTAGATTGACAAATTATGTGACAAACTCTTGTGCTATATTGAATCTGTTTATTATGGGCCTGTGAATTATATTTAATTCAAAAATATTCACTGGACATCATCCATCCATGGTGAAGTGAAGTGTTCATCCATAGTTACGACTGGCATCAATCATTTCCTGGAAGGATGATTGCAGACAGATCAACTTCATCCTCATGTAGCCACTCAACATCCTCTGAATGTGCATTTTCTCTTTTGGAAATAACTGCCATGAGTTCTCTTTGCCTTCTAGCAGCGATTCTCAAAGGACTGATGCGTTTTATCTGAGTTGATTCTGGAACAGTTTGGGTTGGCACATTCTCCCGAGCCCGAGCTCTGTGTTGTCCTGCATGTTTCTTC